CCTGTTTGTTTTTTCGTTCGTTGCTTCTCTTTTTCGTCGACGTTTTTTTTTTTTTTTTTGCGCCCGTTTTTTAAGAAATACATGTCGTTCGTCGGTGGATACCCCGCTCGACGCGGCGCATTAACGGCCACATCAGCTTTTTCAAGTTGGGCGAGGTACTGGTGGTTCAATGAAAAATAGCATTCTTTATGCGTTCTTAAATGAGATTGAACGCTACACACCGTTTTACGCGATGCTAGTGGGTCCCGGCTTCTTGAGCAGTCGAAGAGGACCCCAAATCCAGGCAATTGCAATCTTGTTTGTTACGAAATGGGAAAGCAGTGTGACCGGTCCAACCACTATTTCCCAAATCGGGCGTCCCGTTTTTTAAAGAAAATATGATTTCGGGTAAGCAATATGAGAGTGCCCTAAGAATGTTTCATAACTTTTATGGTGTCCATGTACATGACAAACGGGTCGCAGTGAAAAGCTGCAGCACAGCGTTACACCCATAATATGAGGTCCTGCCAGGGAAGAGGATTGGAGAAAGCGGGTGAACCTGGATGTCGTTCCGGCCAAAATGCAGAAAAGCAAATTAATCATAGTTTTATGCACGTGTTCATAAACACGTCCAGAATCAGGCGATAACCCAATTCCTCGTTGCTTGTGAGACATTGCCCACGGATCACCAAATGCACGCACATCCATGCAGAATCGACACAGATTAATCCCACTCCCACAAATGTAGAAAAAACATACAGAGAAAAAAAACAAAAAGAAAAACGAAAGCAGAAAACAAACGAGAAGCACTCGATACTGACCTAAGAACCAACCACATGCATCGAAAACACGGAACCTTCAACATCGCCCCCGGTAACCCCGAATCACACCCACCAACTCTATAGAGCGGTCGGGGCATTCAAACAAAAACATATGGACCGCACCCTCATTTTTTTGGCAGCGACCACATTCCCACTTCAGTCGTCTTTGACTTCGACCACCCTCCCAACTACCTTTCTGCCTGATGGTCGACGGGTCTGTCCACAACGACAGTTCGTTCCTATGTCAAAACTGCAAGGTGTAGCGCAGCCTAAGGGTTGGACTGCGAACTCATTTGGCCATCAAGCCTGTCTGTTCCAAGACTGCCGTCGAGCCTGACCGGTTCGGGGGCCCGGTCCCACTTGCCTGGATTACTAATCTTTCCCACGGCCATAGATTGGGCCCCGGTCCACTACTCACC